CCCCAAAACCCCAAAACCCCAAAACCCCAATTTTAAACATTGGTTTGAAGATTTTAACTGTGATTAATCACAAGGGCCTTCAGGGCTTGGCTCAGGGAACATCTCTTCCGTATCTTCAGATGATGATTGGATAAGTGGCTCTAACTCTTCTGAAGACTCTATTGACAATTATAATGAACCTTGCCTTCTTCATAACTTTTTATTACGACTCTCCGCTTATCACTGAAATTATCAAAGGGCAAAGGCTGTAGTGTCTGTATAAGAAGTTTGTCCATGTTCTTAATAACAATTTTTCCAAACTTAAAGTCTATATTATTGGCAAAATGGTCTATTCCTCCTCAGTTTTTAATAAGTTTCTTAGCTTGCTTTGCATGGATCTACCACATAAGCTATTCTGCTTACCTCTTTAGCTTGTATCTTTTGCCGTTTGGAAAGCTCAATGGCTACTATAAAGTACTTCGTCTTAGTCTTTCCAATCTCGATCAAGTATGTTTTGATTTGATACTTATGAATTTTTCGATAGATTATTTTCCGCTTATTCTCAACATTTATATTAGCACCTGTGATTTTCATTGGAGAGAGTTTAGCTTGAAAATCTACAGGAGTTAGCAGTCTTAGGAAATCTTAGCTTACCGATAGGAGAGACGTATTGGGTCTGGAGAGTTTGTTGGCTCTGATGACTGCTCATGTTCTCTCTTGAATGATTTCCAAATCTTGTGTCATGACTAATTTTAGTAGGTAAGTTTACCTCTGAAATTTATATTTCCCCTCTTCAATACGAGGAAGTGAATTTAGGTTTCGTGATCTGGGAAACATTTTATTATTGATAAATATTTTGTACTTTCTATGCCCTTGAGGTAGTCTTTTGACTGATGCAGATGCTTCGATATTTTTGCCTTTGAAATTAGAAATTCTTTGCTTCATCTATAAGCAGTTCAGTCGGAATAATGTCCTAGAAAATAATATTTTAATTATTAAGACTAAACAAAGGAATCATGTAAGTTGCAGTTTACCAGAAGCTTTCTTTTATGGTCAACTTCCCATTTTTGATTAGAATAGTTGCTCTTCTTAGTTCTCAATCTTTGCAAAATTTGGTAGTTTTCCAAGGTAATTCTTTCAAGTTCTTTATTTTCTAAAATCTCAATTTAGAGATTTCTTTTGTGAAAGGTTTTCAACCATATTCTTAGGGCTTGGTACCAATTTTGGGTCTCTTATGAGTATCTCTTTCATCTTTTCAAGAAGTTTTTTATTCCCTTTTTCAATGTTTGCAAAGTTTATTGCTCTGCTAAAAGATTCTTTTTCCCACCTCTTGTAAAATCGACTAAAATCCTTCTGCTCAAATTGACCTTCCACTGACCTCCTAAAAACGCTAAACCCATCCTATCCATCTCCAGACTCACCTCTTGCCAATGACTTTATAATTACTCCCTTTCCTATTCATCCTAGTTAATTTAACACCTCTTCTATCCCTTGCTTACCTTAATTTCCCATTCATTCTAGCTTTCAATTTTAATATTTAATTTTGGGGTTTTGGGGTTTTGGGGTTTTGGGGTTTTGGGG